AGGAAAATAATGCTAATACAGACCATAGTGAGTGAATTGCTTTGAGACTATTAACTACCACAAAGTGTACAGAAAGAAAATAACATGACCCAGCTGAAGAGGATGCATGCCTGATAAAAACAAACAGATTACAAACTTAATAATGATATCGCTTGTGAAAAGTAACTGCATGACAGGTGGTAGACGATTGCATCTGCATTGCAGAGACATTAAAATGTTCTTCCATTTGACTGCTACCATCCCCACTATCAGCAAACCAAGTGTGGATTTAGATGCCGTAATTGGTGGTGTACTAGAATCATAAAACTGTGTCTTACTTAAAACTATAGATTTCTGAAACAGAACATCAGAAATGTATTACTTTTTTTTTTTTTTTAGACAGGGTCTTGCTCAGTTGCCTAAGCTAGAGTGCAGTGGCACAATCAGAGCTCAATGTCACCTTGATCTCCTGGGCTCAAGTGACCCTCCTGCTTCAGCCTCCCAAGTAGCTGGGATTATAGGCACATGCCACCACACCTGGGCTAATTTTACTTTATTTTATTTTTATAGAGATGGGTTCTCATTGCATTGCCCAGGCTGGTCTGGAAATTCTGACCTCAAGCAATCCTCCCATCTTGGCCTCCCAAAGTGCTGTGATTATAGGCATGAGCCACTGTGCTCAGCTTATCTTGATTTTGTTTTTAGCATTTTGATTTCCAATGCCTTCTGAATGCTTGTTCCTGGGGCTCTTTTGACACCCACATATTCTGAATTAATTTTCAGCAATAACCACACCTACGTGTACTCTACCAGATAGAATATATGCTACATCATAAAGAAGTCTGTTCTCTTTCTGTTCAACAATGTTGTTCAATGATCCCACTCACCACGAGAAAAAAGGCCTGCCATGGTTGCGCGTTAGCCCATGGCACTTCATCTTCTCAACTATTTCCCCCAGAAAGAATGGAAAATAATGAAAACCTTCCTGACAGACTCATCTTTACAATGGCTGTGCAAATTATTGAGTGTTATGAGGAATTCTGTGTGCTAATTACCTTTAAATGGATCATCTCTACATGTAATTCTGATCTTAATACTCGAGATATTTGGTTTTCATCATAAAAAGGTGGCAATTTGTCACCATGTGCTTGTGAATTACATCTGCATGAAAATAACATGTCAATAATATGTCATTTATTCAATGTATACTCAGTACCAGATACTGTGTCAACTACTATACATGCCTTTAATTCTGACAACCACCATATGTGTTAGACACCATCGTCTCCATTTTAGGAAAATTACACTGATAACCATAAAGTGCAAGTTATTGCCAAGGTAAGTTGGCAGGTCAGTGGTTGAAGCAAGATTCCAAAATAAGTCAGCTTGATTTCAAACTGATTTCTTAATAACTACCACTCTCCACTCCCTTCTTCTTTAGGAGCATATCATTTCTAGGAAAGACTATTTATTCTCATGGCAATAACCAAGATAACACGACATGAACCTTTAAATGATATATGCTATATTTTTATATGGGATATGACATAGTGAATAATGACTGTCTCTTTCGATTTTGCTGATGAAAAAAAATCTCTCTCTCTGCTTTTCACATGCAAAGAATTCATTTTGACTAGCAAACTGTCAAAATGTTTAACTTGGTGTCTACTTGTGCTTTGCGGACTTTTCATGATGGTGATATTTTGTTGCAAGGTGAATTTTTTTTTTTTTTTTTAATGAGTCTCACTCTGTCTCCAGGTTGCAGTGCAATGGCACGATCTCAGCTCACTGCAACCTCCGCCACCTGGGTTCAAGCAGTTCTCCTGCCTCAGCCTCCTGAGTAGCTGGGACTACAGGCATGCACCACCAAGCCCGGCTAATTTTTTGTAGTTTTAGTAGAGATGGGGTTTCACCATGTTGGCCAGGATGGTCTCCATTTCTTGACGTTGTGATCTGCCCGCCTCGGCCTCCCAAAGTGCTGGGATTACAAGCGTGAGCCACCGTGCCTGGCCTTAAGGTGATTTTTAAAGATACCTTTTTGTATGCTTTTCTGTAAGCTGATTCAGTTTTGAGTTTGTCTGCAATATATAAAAAGGATATTCTTGGCCTGGCACAGTGGCTCACACCTGTAATCCCAGCACTTTGGAAGGCCTAGATGGGCATATCACCAGAGGTCAGGAGTTCGAGACCAGCCTGACCAACATGGCAAAACCCGTCTCTACTAAAAGTACAAAAAATTAGCCTGGCATGGTGGCGCACGCCTATAGTCCCAGTTACTCAGGAGGCTGAGGCAGGAGAATCGCTTGAACCCAGGAGGCAGAGGTTGCAGTGAGCCAAGATCGTGCCACTGCACTCCAGCCTGGTGAGAGAGTGAGATTTTAACTCAAAAAAAGAAAAAAAAAAAGATGTTATTCAAGTCATTTTAATTGTTCTCTCAGCATACCCTATGAATGTAGACATATACTGATTTCATCTAAAGTTTTCAAATCAGATGCATGGCCACCAAATAATCATAAAAACATTTCTTTTAAAAATGTTAATGAGGAATCAAGAGATTTTAAAGAAAATATATATGTTTGTTTTTTCTTGTAAAATGCATACTGTGGTGTTTGAGCAAGGCTAATGTTGCATAAGTCAGAACTCTGCAGCTCTTTCTGGGGCTTAAAAAAAAAAAGCCATCTGGCCATAAGCTACTGACAGAGTGGCTCTTCCTCTGTAGCTGGGCACCTACCAGGGCCTGGGCATGGCTCTCAATGCTGGATGACGTACAACAATTTACAGAATACGTTCTCTCTCTCTCCAGGGACCCTAGTGTATAGGCATGAAGCAGACTCACAAAAAATTGCAATATATAGGTGCTAAAAATAAAAGTATTTTAAAGTTGTATTAACTCCACAAAGGGGTCAGATAATTGGCAGGTGTGATTCCAGCAGCTTTGGAAGAGAGGAATTTGACTGGCATCTTAAAGGATAAATATATCATCAGGCAAAGGGGAATGTCATAGGATGAAAGACCTTCAGCAAATATACAGCGGTCTGAAGGAGCTTGAGATCCCAGGAAGATAAACTGAAAGCATTTTGTTTGCTCATGTCATTCATATGTATATATACACACACACATATATATATATGGACACACATATATATACACACACACATATATATGTGTGTATATATACACACATACATATATATATAATCTACAGCATGTAATGGAGGAGACAATATTGGTAAGGAATGTTGGAGCAACGTGCAGTAGGACACATATGTCACACAAAGAGTTTGAATTCTATCTTGCAAGCAATAAAAATGCATATTTTGCAAGCACTACAGTACCATTCCTTATAGATTATGATTACCATTTGTCCTTCAATGTGTTGGAAAGGCTAAATTAGAAAAAGACTAAAGGAAGGGTGTTAACCAAGTCAGAGTCGGGGAACCGAGAGGAGAAAACAGTTGAGACCACTCTAGTGCTGGAACTAGCAGAATCCTAGGCTGATTATTTAAATACAGCGGTGTGAGTGCTCAAAGAAAGCAAAGAGGCAGAAAGAGTGTTAAAAACCAGCAGCTTCCCAGAAAGACTTTTGATGTGCAAAATTTAACTCTCCTGGAAAACATTCTTATTCAGTACCAGAACTTACTAGGCCTCCGTAAATATTTGCTGAATGAAATCAAAACCAAACCAACAAAGGCCCATCCTATCCCAACTAGGGAGTTTAGAAGACTTTCTGAGCCAGCATAGTTTTATATTAAGAAAAGAGTGACCCAATACGGAGGTTTATTATGTCACTGAAATAATAAGAATTCCCCTAAGGATATATTGAGCTTTTCGTCTAGTTTAGACTTCATATCAAAACAAAACAAAACAAAAATAGACAGGTATGATCACCAGTTGGTATGTGTGTGCTAAAAGGGGACATATAGTTTGGGGTATTACCATTAAAAACTTTTGTATCCTTAACTTTCAGCAGAGCCAATGAAAATAAAGCTTATATAATATCCCCTAAAGCACACATTTTTATCTATGTTATGGAAAAAAAATAAGAGCATAAATTCAGAAGCCAGTTTACTAATGCCCTAATAGATTGTGACATATGTGCTTTTTCAGCAGAATCTACAAAATACTTAGAGCAACATCTCAAGTATGAAACAAATTCATTACTAAAAATAACCCAACTCAAGACCTTTTAACGGCTCTTTGAGCTCACCCTATGGGTATAGACATATCTTGATTCCATCTGAAACTTTCAAATCAGGTAAGTGTGCAGCCATCAAATAATCACAAAAAGAATTTTTATAAAAAGTAGGAATGGATGACCAAGGGCTTTAAAAGACAGGAATTTTGAGGTTTCCAAAATTTTCCCTTGATTTGCCATAATAATATATGCATCCACTGAGAAGTTGTGATAGCTCCATCATGAAAAATCTGAAGGCTAGTCAGTCTCAAGGATGGTCAATTTATTAAGAGGCAGGAAAACAATTAAGAGTCCATGGAGTCATGCTCAGGGGTAATTCCTGACTCTGCCATTTATAGGATTTGTAGCTATAGACTAATCACTTAATTTCTCTTGAAGGTAAGTTTTAAGATCTAAAAATTAAAATAATGCACCTTACAGGGTTATTTTAAAGACAAAGTGCAAACATATGTTATCACACAGTTTGCACAAGGTCTTACATAAACAAAGGTTGTTAGTAATTGTCAGGTGTCATTATTACTCCTTTAGACTGATTTCCATTGAGATGCTCAATAAAAATTTAAACGGCTGCATGTGTAATCACCAAATACAATTTCAAAGTTTTCAAATACTTTTTGGAAACTTGAAAATTTAATTCAAATTAAGTTCTGACTTTATCAATGTACTCTCTCATTGCTGCATCTATTAAAAACCAAGAACATCTAACATATGACAGGTGCATCAACCTTACCAACAGGTGGAAACATCTCTTTTGTCACCTTAGATGTTCTGTCAGTTTAACGAAGTAGTATAAAGTAATTACACAGTCTCTGAGACACTGGAATGCATTAGAAAAAGTGTTTATTACCTGATCTGAGTTCCTTAATGGCTCCCAGACATTTTTCTCTGAATCCCCAGAAGACCCTAACATAGTGCTATACAAAGTAGATGAATAGTAAATATATCAGATGAAGAGATTTCTTCAGGGACATAGTGAGGGAGATTTGCCTGATTTGGCTAAGAACGCATTTCATTATTCTGTGAGGCCTCTGAACTCAGCCTACTGTTTGGAACAGGGTAGGAAGACACTAATAAATTATTTTTGAATGAACGGTATTTTTTGACTAATGGTTTAGTCTGCACAGAATAAGGTCTGTAACTCTTGGCAAACCAAGAATAGCATGGATGTTACTTTACATTAATTCCCCAAACGTAATTGAATTACCTGTTAGCACTGTCTTTCATAGTCGATGTTCCAACAGAGATTCTACAAACAGGTAATACTAGTTAACTGAAATGTCACGTTTCCTGATTCAATCTCTGTCAAATACATTATTAATAAAATGGCCAAGAGGGATTAGCAAAAGGGGTTCTGAAAAATCATGAGACTAATCAGAACAGAACTTGAGCATGGACTTAATTTCCATGAGTGCCTACTGAAAGGATGGATGGATGTGCTATAAACTCTGAAGCAGAAAAGTACTATGAGAATTCTTAAAGAAAACCGACATTTAAAAACAACAGTGTGGCTGGGCATGGTGTCCTATGCCTGTAATCCCAGCACTTTGGGTGATGGAGGCGAGATGATTGCTTGCATCCAGGAGTTTGAGACCAGCCTGGGCAACATGGTGACACCTTGTTTAAACAAAATTAAAAAATAAAAAAATAAAGCCAATAGCATCTATTTTGAATAGAGAAAAAGACTATTCTGATAAGTACAATGTCATTATCTATATCCTAAACAACATAGATTTCACCAATATGAAATAAGATGCTCTGTGTATGTGTGTATTCATAGGAACACACAATTTAGTTAGGAAATTTAAAAGAACATGAGGATTTCATATAAACTCCTCACACAAAAAGGATCAAATGGCCTTTAGAAATGCAAGTCATCTTCATGATAGGAGAATACAAAAGTCCTATTACTTCCTTTATTCCTGCCCTCCTGCATCATTTATTCTACATTAACAGCACAAGTATTGACTGTATCCCAATGAACTTACTCAGATAAACACAATGTGGTTTTCTTTTAAAATAAGACTTTACTGAATATATCAACAAGGTACTGTATAGTGTAGAGTGAAGTTTGTCATTAACAAAGTGTGCGACATGGTAGGTCTCAGAGGATGTGTGATGCAGAATCTTCCAGCCCCTTGTCAGAGAGAACACACTAAACAGAAACCAGAAGCAAATCAGCATATGGTTCAAACAATAACAAATCATCAGGTTAACTTTCAGTGAATATACACTAGTCCTATGAGGGACACACAGTTGGCAATACCTTCACCTTGCCTTAAACTGTTATAAATCTTACATTCCAGGGACACCTTTACAAATGCCCCCGTGTGTGTATGTGTGTGTGTGTGTGTCCACGCATGTGCATGTTTGATATTAATTTTAAAATGTTTGTTGCGATGGCCTTCCTTTGTGCTCTTCCGGTGGGTGTGTCGCTAGAAAACAAAAAACTATAGTAAGAAAATCTGATTTGTTATAACAACGGTACCAGACATGTACAAAACTCTTTCTCCACAGTGACAAGCATTCCCCATTGCTGGTAACTGTCTTTTGATCCTGCTGAAGAAATCAGAGAAGGATGTAGGTTATGCCTTCTTAGCATTCGTATTTTGACTTTAGAAAGAGCATCAGGCAAGGTTTGACAAAACCAAGAAAAAGACCAAGAACTGTTTTGTTCTGTGTAAGTATCTTTTTTCCGTTTGGGGCACTGCTTTCTGCTTTGCTTCCCCCTGCAGCTGGAATGGTAAATCGTGAGCAAAACTGCTATTCTCATGTTCTAAAGTAAAACGTAATGTCTCCTTGTTATAGGTTAGAGAAAAATACTATAAGCAAAGATGCCAATGGAAATTAATCACTTCACTTTTCAAGAGCTGCGATGGCCTCTGCAGCTGAGGTCCGGCGATCAAGTGAAGCATCCATTCCCTGTGGACTACACTATTGCCTCCTGTTCTGAATGGATGCTTCGATCACAGCATGAAGTTGTCCTCCCTGGTGGGGAAGGAAGTTCTGATTTGTGTGAAATGACTAAGACTATTATGATAGGTGCTAGTAGAAAATGAAGTTGTAATATGAACTACTTCATTAATACTTTTTACCAGACAGGTCACATTATAGGTTTTGTTTGTAACCTCAGGGACAATGTCTAATATGTTTTCAACGAACATCCAGATAATTAGAAACTGCATTCTTTCTCACAGGGGAGAATGTTTTCCATTTGATACACAAGGAAAATAGGCAGGGGATACAATCCTCGTAGCTGCCTGCGATTGTCCCATGCCGTGGGCTGCTAATTGCTTCTGATGGTGTTTGAGGGTAGCCCAGAGTCTCTCTATAATCAAACATATCTCCCCAAACAAGCAGGTATTAACAACTACCCTGGCTATAGATAACTGTCAATATATCCTTGTGATCATGACTATGCCACTTCCTTTTCAATATCTTCTGTACAGTGACAGTTACCGAGCTCTGAACGGGATCAGATTCTATCTGAATCACCTTATTTGGCCAGGCAGCATCAAGCTCTTTATTGGCCAGCGAGCATGGATTTTTTTCCATGGTCTTGGCCTGTACTCTCAACCTTGACTCTTGACTCATCATCTCAAAATACATCATAATGACAGCAAGAGAGGCCCAAACACAAAGCAGGTATTTCTGCAAAAATACATTCCCAGGACTAAAAATGCCAATCAAAGCAGAAACGCAAGGGACAGTTGTTTGGCTATTTTCATAAGACACATTAGACATCACAGATTCCTTCATGTGCTTTCTATCCTGGTGTAGGTGAGGCTGCAACAAATGGGAGACGGATTTTAATCTTAGCAGTCTTTGTCATGTTGTACACAAGATGAAAATAAAGCCTGTTACTAGGTTCAATCTCTTCAGGAACACCTCCAGCAAAAGGGACCCCGTCAGACCACCTTAAGCATTGCACGTGACTGTCTCCATTGTACTACTTAAGCCCCAAATAATTCTGTGAACTCCATAAGAAATGACAGGAACCTCTTCATCCTTGTTTTTCCTGGCCCAAAGCGATGTCAGCAGCCAGAAATCCCACTGGGGGTTAAACACACAATATACATAAATGAGAATGATTATTTGGTGAATAACAGAAATAAAAACCCTCAAAAGTCAAAGTACCATCATTTGAACGCACAATTTTATCTACACAGCCAAGGGGAAGAGGACAGTAGAAGGCAATTACCCAGCTAAGTACACAAAGCCCCCATGTCATTGTCTTGACTTTAGATGTCTTAGTGCTACACTGATCACCTTCACACTCTTTTCCCTTCACTGCGTGGACCTAACTTTAAAAAAAGCAACAGCCAAAACCCTCTAGCTAATAGACTAAAATGGAAACCAGAGTCACTTTAGAATTAATTTAAATTAATTCATAGCTAAGTTCAGCTCTACTGACTGCACAGTTTCAATTCTTGTGTCTAACATACAGCTGCAGTTATATTTTCTGCTTATTCTGAGGGAGAAGGGAGATTAAAACATATAAGTTGGGCTATATTATTAAAGAAAATAAAGCTCTTACTATAAAGAAAAAGTTGCATAGCATTTTATACCTAAACTTTACAAAGAAGACACATCACAGTTTTATTTTGCTGAGAGAGAGAGAGCAAGTAAGATGATGGTGACATTTACTTCATGGGTCCTTATAATAATGGCCAGTGGTAAAAGAAATATGCATCACAGAGTGAAATGTTTAAATTTGATTTTAAAAAGATTTTTTTTCCAAGGGAGTAGTTTTTGATAATGTATGTGATCCATAGCCCTTCTCTGTCTAAGGACGGCAAAGATTAAACTATGTGTTTTATGAAGATGTTGCCTCAAAAGTATCTAGAATTAAGCAAGGACATCCCTCTCTTTTCTATGCCCTGCTCTGCCAGGATTAGGGGAACAAGCCTTCACTCTCTGACTTGTTTGTTTTTCATGCGTTGTCCTGCTAACAGAAGATTGATGATCCCTCCGCAACTGCCAAAGTAGAGGAACATCCACGACGGAAAAGGAACAAATAAAATTTCAAAAGTGGAACAGGATCAAAGTCAGTACAAGGTGGAAACCAGGTGTCGCTTTTTTAAAAATTAATTATTTTGGCCAGCTTTGATGTGTCCTTACAGAATTATTAGCAGTGAAAATTAGTATGCATTTAAAAATGTATAAGTACATATGGATATTTTGTGCAGCCAAGACTGGCATCCATAATTTTCTTTGAAATACTGAGGAGAGGGAGAAAAACGAAGGTGTTATAAACAACTAATTATGAAAATATATGGGAGATGATTGGAAGACAAGAATTTGCAAGGGGATAAAAGATATTACTTCAAGCTATTTCAACATGATACTAACAAAGTCAGCTGACATAACAGAACCACTGACCAGTTGTTTTTGTCTAAATAGCAGTAAGGGTAATTTTTAAATAAGTCATTGTTGTATTTTCAAAACATTGATCACCTGTTGGTCTAAATATCATGTTGACATAGCCTCAGTGAATCTACCCAAATAATTCTCATTATCAAAAATAATTCCATTCAATATAATTCTTCCCTTAATTTTATTAGCCTCTTCTAAAAAATTATTCTAGAATATATCTCTGTTGAATGTGATTCAACCTGACATACGATTTGAACAGTAACACTTTTAAAGGGAGTTTTCTTGCTACAACATCAGACCGGTCCCTGAAGATGACTGAAATCAGACTCAAGTCTCTAACTCTGTTATCACTTAGGACCAGGGAAGCATGAAGAGTGATTTTTAAGTTCCCAGTCGGAAAGCCAACCCCTGCATTTTCAGGTCTTTTCAAATCTCATCTCAATTTTCTTGATTCTGTCAGGCCGGGTTAACTTATCTCACGGGAACTAGCTTCCTCCTGGTGCTTTCAGCATTTCCCGCACTGGGTCAAATCAGGGTAACTACCTCCATTCTTACATTATAGAATTTTTTTACCTGTCTTCCAGACCTGGAGGTATAGGAATAGTGTGAAACTCTGGGCCATTTCTTGTTTCACCCATATTATTCCTCTTACCCTGATGAGTCCATTTAATCTGCCCTTTCATCTGACCACCAGGAATTTATTCTGACAGCTTCAACAGCGAAGTGGTTGATGTGTATCCTAAGGAAGAATCACTCGTTCTTTTTGCCTTGGCATTGGGTTCTCATTGTACAACCCTGTACAGTACTTCAGCAACTATTTTTTTTTAAGTTTTAAAAAGCAAAGAGTTACAAAACTGTTTGTAATTAACTTGAAATAGAAAAGATAGCACTTTTTTAAAATCCCATTATATAGTACACCGTATAAATTACAGAGTATTCAAATGCACAAATGCATCTGTGTAACATTTATCAAATGTAATCTGCGTGTCTTTACGTGCACACACAAGTGTGTTCTCAAGAGTCTAACTGTCCGCCTTGATAACGCTGGGCCTCTAGCTGTCACGTATGGCAGTGCTCTAGGTCTGGCACGCTGCTGTTGCAGTATCGCATGTTGTTGGGGATATGGCAGTCTGTGTAATTAATGCCCCCATTTGGGGTGTAAATGGGCTGCAGTCTGAAATCTCCTTTAAGGAGTTGATCGTTATTTAAGGAGACGATCTGAAAACTGGTTTCTGTCATCTCCAGGATGGAGTTGTCCTTCTTGGTGCCTGCCTCGCAATAATCATCTTTCCGCCGGCCCCGGTTGTATTTCCACTTCTGGGAGGTGTAGCGCCCCTTTTTGTGCATGTGCCAGCAAAAGACGCTGAGCAAGACCACGAGCACAAATATCACCGCGCCCCCGATCAAGCCGGCCAGCAGAAAGGGGGAGCCCATGCTGTGGGACGTCGTCTGCTCGTGACTGGATGCTGTGTTGCTGCCGTTGTTCAGATAGGAGGCGTGAGTGGTGGCCTCTGAACAAATGGTGTCTTCTACCGCGCGGTAGTTAAAAGCATCCAGTGGCACTAAACAAATCCGATAGGTGGATCGGGGCTCTAGGTTAACCAGGCTCAGGTGTTGCTTCTCACCGCTGACTATGCGCTCCTGAACGATGCCCCCTACTAAACTGTGGCCCATTTTCACCCATGTGAGTTTGTATGCCATCACGGTGAAGAGAGAGAGCCAGCTGACTTGAATGGAAGTATCATTCACAAAATGGATAGAGAGCTGGATCCGTTCAGAAATAGGTGGGGTCACTCTTTCTCTGCCATCCCAGTCAGGAATCGTGGGAAGTTTCGATGTGGTAGGAGTTGGAGGCGTGTGGCTTCTGCTAGGGTTTGGAATAGAGAGGGTGGGAGGCTGAGTGGTCGGAGAAGCTGTACTTGAGGCTGGGGTGAAGAGAGGCAGGCCGGGGGTGGTGGTGGGACAGGACAAAAGATTCATATTTAATTCCCTGACGGCCATCCCCCGGACTTGTTCAGGACCTTGGCACATGAAACCCCGCACGTTGAGAGATGAAGGGATGTATTTGAGCCATTCCGTGACCCATTTGATACTGCAGTCACAAAACCAAGGGTTATTCCGCGCAGTGAGCTGCTTCAGGTTGGAGAGATTATCAAACACCCCTTGAGTCAGCATCCGCAGTTGGTTGTTGGATATATCCAGCCGTTCCAGCTTACGCAGATTTGAGAAGGCTGTCAAAGGAATGTGGTTTATCTGGTTGTCCTGCAAATAGAGCCTGATCAGATGTGTACCTGGCAGATCGGGAGGAGGGTGGGACAGCGAATTACGGACGATTGAAAATTCCTTGAGCTTGGTGAGATGGCTGAAGGTGCCGTCGGCGATACCCTTGTTGGTCAGGAGGTTCCCGTCCACAATAAGACGCTCCAAGCTCGTGAGATTCTGGAAGGCCATGTCGGATATGACAGCAATTCGATTTTCATCCACCCTCAGCTCTTGCAAGTCCACAGGAAGGCCCACAGGCACACTGCTCAGGTGATTCTTAGACAAAAACAACAATTTGAGGCTAATGGCCTCCCGGAAGGCCCCGTCTTCCACCCCCACTGTGGATATGGAGTTGTCATCCAGGTGCAGCTCTTCAAGCTTTAAGAGCTGGGCAAGAGCAGCCCGTGAAATGGTCTGAATATTGTTTTCCTGCAAATGGAGAACTCTGACATTCTTGGGAAGGTTCATGGGGAATTCGTCCAGTTGGTTGCCATACAGGTAGACCGTGTGCACTGACTGTACATTGTGCAGTTCTGCAGGAAATCCAGCATTATTAATTTGGTTGTTGTGGAGGTAGAGTACGGTTACGCCCTCCGGGATCCCAAGAGGCACTGAGGTCAAGCTTCGCTCATTACAGTAGACAAAGTTCCTGTCGCAGCGGCACACACTAGGGCAGGCCAGGAGTTTGGACACCTGTGAGTAGAGCCCCAGGGAAATGATAAGCCAAGACTTCAGGAAAAAAGCCCCATGGCTGGGCCACTTTGTGGTCTGTAGGCCCATTTCTGAAGTACAGAAATAAAATACAATGTAGTGGGAAAAAGAAAAAGAAAAAAAAAATAAACAGATAGCAAAATCAAAATGACTGGACCGGGTTCTGTGGAAGTCCAGAACTCTAGCTAGAGGGAACGTCCTGAAGGCGTATGGTAAAATAATCTCCCTGCTGTCTTGGGTCTTATCAGCCTGTGTTGCCCTCTTTGCTGCTGTCCTCCATGTGCAAAAAATTCAACAGGGAGAATTTTTCCACACTGGCAACAGGTGATGGCAAGTTATCAGCCGTGTCAACACAAGCCCAAGTGGGCAGGTCGAACTCTCTTCTTTTGTAGGTCAAGCCAGCCTTGATTAGCCTACGAACTTCTTGGTTAAGCTCAATCTGCAATCTGTTGTAGGAAAGAAAAGAGGAAATGGTCAGTTAAGGGCAGTAATGAAAAAAGTGCCAATATAACCCTGAGCCTTTCAAAAACAATGAGATTGGAATGAAATGTTGAGAGGCCAGGGTTGGCATTAAGTGGAATTTCAAATAACAGTAACTTAGTTGAAAAGGTATTCAAGAAATAATATAGTATCTTCAAAAGGACATCATGCTGTTACTTGTCACCATCAACCATCATATTGTGAATTTAACAGCCCAATCAGTACCTTCTCTTTTATCTATTCTTCATCTATTTGCATATCCAAACACTTAATTACAACAGGCACACTGCTGAATCCACTCAATCAGTTAATGATAATTATCTACAAATCCCACTGGTCATAGACTTGTTTCAAGGTAGAGGTGATGATTGACAGCTAGCAAAAGTGAAGGGGAAAATGCGAAGCCCTGCATAGTTATATATTTAAAAATGCAAAATGGAGACTAATAAAGTCACTTAAAAAGATGCATCCTTACTGAAAAATTATTCCAAATGCATTACATTTCCAAATACATTTACTATATAGGAACTTTCATATACGATGTTATAAAAAAGCTGTAGCTGAATTAGTTGCCATTTCCTTTTAAAATGTATTTTAAAACTCTGATACAAAAACTTACTCAGGCTTAACGGAAAATTTTAGAGAATAAAATATAAAGAATATAGTATGAAGGTGATAAAGATTATTCATTATATTATCACCCAGAGATAACTGATCGATTTGCTTACTTTCCTTTTTTCTATACATATACTTAACAAAATTGGAATCATTATTTATTTTTCTTTTTGTAACCTAACATACGTCATGACCACGTAATTTAAAAAAATCGAATCATTCAAAGAAAAAACATTCAAAGAAAAAATTTTTCAAAGGAAAAAAAAGTAGTATAAACGTAGTGAACAGAAGCATGTATGAAGGCAGAGACTTTTTTCTTTCCCACTTCTTGTCTCCTTTCCTCTTTATCTTCCTCCAAAATAGCTTGCACTCAGTCACCGAGGAGAATGACTAAGCTCCAGGGTACAAAACACTTCCACTTATCTCCTCCTTCGGGACCTCTAGGTCCAGATGAGATACACCATTGTGATCCCTCGAAGAGTTGCCAAGCTCACGACTAGGGGTAAATTATTTTTCAACACCATCACCTTCTTTCTGTCTATGCTTTCCTGCTTTTATTAGAGGTCTTTTAGTAAATTTTGAAATGACAGAAGACACAGTTGAGGAAGTCAAGGCAATCTACAGATAGTAATCATGCCTTCTTGCTACAGAAAGTATTCCATCTGTTTTTAGATTAGAGAGGTAAAGAAGTTAATTGAAAGGTGCCAGATTAGATTTCCCTACAAAATAAGCTAACATGATAGGACATGGCAAACTGCGAGTCTCTTAATTCTCAGGAATACAAGGAGATTGAAACAACTTACATCTAAAAGCACAGAGGAACTACTTGAAATTGTTCCCTTAGCTATCTTTAGAAATATAATTAAAAAAGAAAAAAAGAACACTGGAAATGTTATTTAAGTGTCAAAGATGTTGTAAATGTGTTCTATAATTTAACAGATTGTAAGCCATCTAAAAAAAAATGCCTTTGATGACCAGAAATGGTAAAATTCATTTTTTATTGTTTAGGAAATATAAGGTGGGTGGGAGGGGATTTTTTTCAGGTAAAAAGAGAGAGATATGATGCTTTATTAAAAAGCAAGCATGGCCGGGCTTGATTTCATGTGGTGGCTTACACCTGTAATCTCAGCACCTTGGGAGGCCAAGGCAGGCATATAGCTTGAGCCCAGGAGCTCGAGACCAGCTTGGGCAACATAGTGAAACCCCATTTCTATTAAAAATTAGAAAAATTAGCCAGGTGTGGTGGTGTGAGCCTGTAGTCTCTGCCACTCTGAAGGCTGAGGTGGGAGGATCGTCAGACCCCAGGAGGCAGAGGTGAGTCAAGATCATGCTGCTGCAGTCCAACCTGGGTGACAGAGCAAGACCCTGTCTAAAAAAAAAAAAAAAAAAAGTCAAGCATTATTTAATTTTTTACAAAACCTAATATACGTTTTGATGCTGAAAAGGATGCCATTCCTTCCAAAAGAAACCTCTCTATAGACTTAAAGAATAATTTATGTAACTGAGGTGGCATAGGAAAAATGAGTTTAATGCAATCAGTCTGATGGCATCCTTAGCTCAGGTTTCAAACCATCTTAATGTTCCCTAGCATCTTGGTACTCAAGTGTGGTCCTTGGTCCAGTAGCATGAGCCTAACCTGGGGAGATGGTAGAAAAGCTAAACCTCAGGCCCAGAATCTGTATGTTAGCGAGAGTCTGAGGTGGGTGCATTCAAATTTGTGAAGCACCATGAACATCTTATTTCATCATTCATGTTTTAATTTATTAGATTTAAAATAGATGCAAGAGCATGTCACATGACTCTTTTGAGAAGAGTTAAGGCATAAGGCATACTAATCACTTTTGTCCCCGGGAGACAGTCTCAAATAACATCTTATATGTAAATTACATCTTCTGGGTGGAGCAGTGCAATGACTATGTATGACATTTGGCCTTAACAGAAAATGTTTCTCTGGATGACAAGTACTAACGTCTAGTAGGACCTTAAAGAGCTACTTGTCATCACAGTAGCCCACTTCTGTAAAACATTTAAGAATAAAAAACTGTTTGGTTCTATTAATAATTACTTCCGCAAGAGCTAGGAAAGTGAGACTAAAGAATCAAATGTAATGTTTTTGAGTATTCTACTGGAATCTTCAAAGTGTGATAGAAACAACCATGGAAAAGAAAGTCCTAAGGTAGAAAAACAGCAACACCAGGGTCTCTAAGTTCCTATGTGAAAAGAATAGATGCTTCTACATTGTCTTATAGGCCAAGTATTAGGGGCTAAGAAACAATCAATACTTGAAGGCGATGGTGTTTGCTTAGAGTTCATCAGCTAACAGCCTCAAGGACATTAACACTGGGAGTCAACCAAATAACTCAGGGATGGGCCTAGAAACTATTATTATGCATCCAAATTGTAAATTTTCCATTTCCTGAACTGTGTCCTCTACAAGGAGAGAATAGGTCCCCATTAGCCAACCCTTTGCCCCCGTGCCTTGCTCTCTTGCAGGCATATTTTACTCATGAGTGGTTCTTTTATAATTATATAAGAAGATGATGTGGTTCTGAAGAAAGCTCCTAATAAGATTACATGGGGCAAACTGTCACTGTTCATACACCTTAATAGGAGAAACGTCCCATCTAGAGCACAATGTGTTGATCGGCTATGACAAGTTCAATTTTGAATGAAAACAAACTCTCAGAGCTTTCTTTGACCTTCTTGGGAATCCCACAAAGTAACAGCATATAGCAGATTTGTTCTATTCCACGTATCAACAACAGCTTACACCTATCAGTGAATGCACTGTATTTTTCTTTCAATCAGTACAAATATTAGTAAAATTACAACCACCTAGGCCATAATGATTTTTTTAAATTTAGATTTTTAAAATTAAATTTTCTTTGCATTTCCAGCTGTGGTTCCTACTGAATAATGAAGATAGAGATCCTTTTAGACTTTAAGTTGGGGACCATATTTACAGAGAAAGAAAGTATAATGGTCAACAAGTATAGATCCTGAGTTCTCATCCTACTTCTATCACCAAGTAGCAGCAGGATCTTGAGTACACATTTCTCTTTTCAAGTCTTAGTCTCCTTATCTGAAAAATGGTAATAATGGTTCCTAACTCACAGCACAGGTGACAGGGTTAAATAAAATAATACTTGTAAAAAAACTTATGTCTGTACATGGCAAAAACGTAATAATGCTGATTATTCTCTATGTAATTGTTATTATTAACGATATCCAAAGAGGTGAACTCCACTGTGTAGAACCAAATAAAATCAGCCTTGACCTGCCAAGCTTTATGCACTTTCAACCACCCCAGTCTCTCAGCCTAAGCACTACTGACATTTTCCAGCAGATAATTCTGTGCGGTGGGGCTGTGGTGTGCATCCCAAAATGTCTCCTGATGTTGCCACATATATGTCCCCTGGAGTGGGAAAATCATCCCCTGTTGAGAATCGATGATCTACACACACCTTCTTACAAGTGCTTTAGAAAGTTAGCATTATTGCCATAATTTTCTAGAGAAAACTAAGATAAATTTCTAATAAACATAACCTAAAAATGCTTCTCCCATGGACATCAAAAAGCATGAAAAGGTAATATACTTTCCATTAATTTATTGAACCAATATTTATTGAGCACTAGAACGAGGATACTGCTGTATACGGAGCTGATGTAGTTTTTGGCTCATGAGTTAAGTGAGGGGAGAACAATGAGTAGGCGGGGAATTAGCGATCTATGTAAAGAGTTCTTAACCCTAGAGCATCAAGTAATCGTGGTCCTGTGTAAAGAGTTCTACCCTAGCCCATGGGTTACCAGGAAAAACACTGCAGGGAAAGGATGGCTCTGTGAAAATCAGAAGGATAGAGAGGCCCAAGCCGGGAAGAAGTGTAAGTTCTGCTTACAGATCCAAGCTGTTTATAATGTGAAGCCAGAGATGAATCCCAGCTCAGCTGAGAGGAGGAACAAAACATTAACTGCACAATACTTTCTCCCAACTCTCTGTCTGCTTCTCACTGAGGTATTCGTGCTTCTAGAAGACGATAAACAAACTCATGTTTCAAAATCACTGGGCATTTCACCTGTAAGCCTAAATGTTGCTGATAAAAAGAATTGCTTTACAAGATAAATTTCAAATTCAAAGGGAAAAGAGTAGTTTTTGATTCTTAAATATTTCCCTGTTTATGTGAACACTGTATTGAATATGTTGCTTCCTCTCCAGGAAACTAGAAATGATAAAGAATGGCTTAATCGCAGGTGCTAGGTAAAACCAGAAATTTTCATTTAAGGGAGATCACAGTTTCAAAAACCTGAGTATAAATCAACATGCAAAAAAAAAAAAAAAGCTCTTTGCGGGCAG